AAAGGAAGAACGTAAGACCGAAAAGGAAGAACATGAGAAAAAAAAAAAGAAAGATAAAAAAGGTAAATCGTCTAGTAAAGAAAAGGCTGAAGAGGAAGATGTCGAAGAAAATCCTACGGTAGAGGAGGTAGATTCATCCGAAGAAACGAAACCTGCAAAGAAAAAGAAAAAAATTGCAGAAGACCAAACCACGGAAGTTGGTACCTCTAAAGAACGTTCCAAAGAAAAATCCTCCAAGCGCAAAATTTCTGATACGGCGGAAGCCACAAAAGAACATTCTGAATCTTCTAAACCAGAAAAATCAAAAAAATTAAAGGTTTCTAAAGATAAATCCAGCCGCCAGAAATGATCTCTGGATTACTTTATCGTTTACAGATCACATTACCAGATTAATTAGGTGGAATGCTCGGTGGGTGCACAATAATTAAATAAAATATAAATGTATAAATGAAAGGTTAAAGTAATATCGAATATACTTCTCTTACATTATATGCGTGAAACAGACATGGAAAATTTATTTTATTATTCATAAAAATTTGTTCTTGATAATAAAAGCGAGATTTTAATTTTTTAATTTTAAAAAGTTATAACAGTTTTGATTCCTCAGGTATGTCAAGTTTTTCTGCCTGTTCTTCAACCTTAGGTGCTTTCTTTTTCTTTTCTTTCTTTTTATCAAAAACTGGCTCCTCAGTTGTTGCAATTTCTCGAGTCTCAGTATCAGATTCATGTTTTTCGGATTTTTTCTTTTTCTTTTCTTTCTTTTTATCTGAAACCGATTCCTCAATTATTGATGCCGTCATTTTTTTACTTAGGTCCTCATCATCCGATACGTGTTTTTCGGGCTTTTTCCTTTTCTTTTCTTTCTTTTTATCTGATGCAATTGGTTCAATTTGCATTTTAACAGGTTTCTTTCCTTCGGATTTAGATAGTGATTCACTTTCACTATCGTCCGAATCGGTATCCATTTTATCATCACTTTCCTCTGATTCTTCTGCTTTCGTACCAGATGGTCCTGCTTCTACAGGCTCATTTGCAATATCAGCATAAGGATTATATGACGGTTTCGTTCTAATATTTGAATTGTAATAAATTATTTTAATATTTCATGTTTAAATATGAATTTCATTTTGTAACTAATACATACGAAATAAGTTCAAACTTGGGTTGTTTTTTCCGTTTATCAGTGGTTATAATAGTACCCCCTTTTTCTAAAATTCTTAATCGAGTTTCAATCATTTTACGACAATTTTGACCCATTTCTGCCATCAAATCCTTTTCATCAGCTATTGCGTCAAAACGAGTAGCCAGAGATGATTTTGATGCAACTATACGCGCAATCTATAATTAATAGTTAAATCATTAATTATTATCTCGGATTTAATTTTTAAAAAATTTATTAAAAATTTTTATTAAAAATTTTTGTTACATTACCTTTCCTTTGTTTTTAGGGCTAGCTTGACCAACCAAACTTGCATGATATATAAGCCCATATTTTGGAGTAGCATTTTTGGTCTTTAAAGCTCTAAATAAAGCCTTTTCAGCACCTAAAATCTGAATAGTACTTGATGGATGCTTTGCAAGGTTTAATAAACTTCCAGCGTGTGAAATCAATCTAGCACCAACTAATTCGCCGACAATAGTAGTTAAATTTGGAGCAATCGCCAACATACGATTTTTTAGATATTCGTAAAGTTCTGTACGATAAGCTGTCAAGCTTATTACTTGATCACAACCCATTACAATGTTATTAATATCTTCTTCCGAAATTTCAGTTCCCATAGATATCTCCGCAGCTTCTTTAACTTCGTTTTCAAGTTCTTCAGGAAGTATATCAGAAAGATCACATTCTTGTGCATTTACTCGAAAACCTTAAATAAGTTATATAGAGAAATTTTCGTAAAAATAAAATGAAAAATTAAAACAATTAAAAAAAGTAAACATACATATATATACCCATGGCTTTAACAACTTTAGCATAAGCAAGATTATCAACCACTATCTTTGACATTTCCGGAAAATGCCAACCATACCATTCTTTAACTCTCATAGCATAAGTATTTAATTCTTTATCTAAATCATCAAGTAACCCTATTGCTTGAATAATCATAGTATCTACTTTATCAGGTGAAAATTTAAGTTTGTGACGAGATAAAGAATGTGAAAGGCCCAATGCCATAGAAGATATATCATCTGGATCCATTCCAGTAATTAATGAGTCGATATGTTGACGAATTCCCCTAAATAAATCGATAACAATCTTTTCTGATTGTACTTGAATACCGAGTTTCTTATTGATAGTAGACCCTTAAATCACAAAAAAAAGTAGATATTTATTAACGATTAATGTTTATTTTTTTAATAAACATTATTTTTGATTACGGTTCGATTTTTTTTTTTTTTTTTAATTTATATGACTCACCAAGTTTTGGATCTGCTACAATAAGTTTTTCTTTTCTTATAGATGTCTCACCAATAGTTTCTTTTAGAAAATTATTTAGATCATCTGATAATTTTCCTTCTGATACATCACTTATTGAAGATACAGCAGACGCCATATTTTCAAATTTCTTGAAGGCCTTTAACTTAATTCTATAAAATATATGAAGTATATGAATATTTTATTATATTTGATAGCAAAAATTGAAAGTAAACATAGATTTTCAGTATATATTTACGTATTGCTAGCTTCTTGTGGTGTTTCAAATGCTTTCCATAGTTCCTCAGGTGTTTCTAACTTTCCTTCATTTAATACTTGGAATAAAGCATAGCCTGCTGCTGTCTCAAAAAGTACCAACATTTTAGGTTTTTATTTATATGAAATAAAATATTCTTAAGAGTATTTTTATGTTGGTAAACGCGCGAAAAACCTTGTCTTTTATCGTTAGCAATTTGACACGAATGATAAAAGTTGAAAAAAAAAAAAAATTTTTCGTACAGGTCACGTTTATTGATGTAGATTGATAACCGATCAGTACCCCAAAATTTAAAGGGTACTAATTTGACACATTGTATAAGAAAGTAATCGGTTGGACGTTAGTTTTCTTATGTGATTTTTTATTTTCAGGATACTTTGCAGTAATGAAAAAAAATGTCCAAAAAACTAAATTAGCCGTAATGTAAAAACTACGTTCTACACCACCGGAAGCCATATATAATGCAATTTTGAATAAATTAGTAAAGATTTCATGTATATTACTAGTTACCTTTAGGAAAATGTTTATAAAAATCATAATTCTGTAACAAACTTATTTATTTGAAATTCCGTGATATTCTGCTGTGATTTTGTGATTAGTAAACACAGCAAATCAGCAGAGGTCTTTTTCGATTTTTAACAGCTGCTCTACATTTTAGGGATGGGCGTTAACGGTAAAGTGTTCTATTTTAAAATTATATATAAACTTGATAGCAAATATTTTTTGTGAATTAAAATACAAAATAATTTATTAATTAAATTTATTTTAAGTTTCTAAATAAAATTTATCTTATACGTAGTATTAAAATCGACAACAATTTGATATAATAAAATGAATAAATATATGCGTTGCACCCTGCGATACAGCTATATATCGCATGTATATACAAAACATAGTTTGCAGATCTGTGTAATATAATTTTTTTAAAAAAAACCAAATCCCTATTTAGCTTAGGGTTAGGGCGAAAGCTCGATTAGAGTTAGGTTGCTTTCTAGTAAAATTTAGCAAGGAATTTTTTTAATTAGAACGCCAAAGGTGGTTTCATAATCAAAATTTCGAGGTATTTGCAATTTCTTTAAAAAATAAGCAAAAAAGCAAAAATGTAACGTTACATCTGATCGTCAAATCTGATTGGATAAATTGTTAGATGCGATGTATAGCTACATTGCAGGGTGCGATGCCTAATTAAGTCCTAATAAAATTACTAAATTGGTAATAAAAATCGTAGGAATTTAAAAAAATTAAAGGTAAATGGTAATTTAAAATAGTCCAGGTAAATATTGAGCATTATAAATTCACATACCCGAACAGAGAAAACGATCCTTTAAATTATATAAAAATTTATAAGAATAAACAATATGGTCAATTGTTTTTATATTATAAATTTTATTACAAAATC